GGGCCCCACAACGGGAGAGGCCACAACAGTGAGGGGCCCGCGTACCCAAAAAAAAAAAAAAAAAGTGCAAGAGGGAGGCAGAAGGGTCAATGTCAGAATGATGTGATGAGAAAAGTATTCAGCCCACTGTTGCTGGCTTTGGAAATGGGAGGGAGAGGGCTACAAGCCAAGGGATGTGTGAGGCTCCTCGATACTAGAAAGGACAAGGGAACAGATTCCCCCCTAGAGCCTCCAGAAAGAAACACAGCCCTGCTAACACCCTGATTTTAGTCCAGTGACACCTGTATCAGGCTTCTAACCTGCAGAACTGTCAGATAATGAATTTGTGTTGTTTAAAACACTAACGTTTGTGGTAATTTATTACAGCAGCAACAGAAAACAAATATAGAAAGCTTTAGATTTTCCAGCACTAAGTATGATGTTTGCTGTAGAGTTCCTGTGGATGTTGTCTATTTGCTCTTGGGTTCCTTCTAGTTTATTTCTGAAACATACTGTTAACTCCAGTATTTCCTCTGAGCTCTGTCAGCTCTCATTTTATTTCCTCCTATTGCTTGTCCGTCTAATTTTTGAGCTTTTCTGACTTTGATGTTATATTGTTCTTTCTCAGCTTCTATCATTTCTTGAATTTCTTCAGCATTTTAACAAATATTACCGTTTTCTTCTGCTTTGTAAAAGTTTCTAGGATATCTTCATTTCCTGTGGGTATGTGATACACGCTGTTATCCTGTTTTCTTAAAGCATATTGTATGATGTGGTCATGTTTAAGTGAGATGGACTTTGTCATACTTTCCTCCTATATTTTCAGTAGATTCCTGGGTAGGTGGTGAGGTAGGCCTGGAGTTTCCTGGTTTTGTAGTTCTAGGGTTCTCTCTTCTGTAGTTACTACAAAGTATTAGATAACATTTTTTTTTAAGATAACTTTTATTTTTATTATTATTTTTGTAATAGCTGATATTTTATTCTTACTTATTTATTCGACCGTGCCGCTTGGTCTGATCTTAGTTCCTGGACCAGGGATGGAACCTGGGCCCAGCAGTGCAGGTGCTGAGTCCTAACCACTGGACTGCCAGGGAATTCCCAGATGACATGGTTTTTTATGAACCTTCTTAGTACTTTCTGAATTGTCTCATCTGGTCCCCTCTTGTATCTGTATCAGAACCTTGTCTCCTTTATCCCCAGGGTCCTTCCCTTGTCAATGTCTATTCTATATCCAGTAGCTTCTCTCAGGGCAGGTCTATGTGCTCTCACCAGCTACTTCTGGGAACCCTGAAGACCAGGTTGCCCTGGCACCCTCATACCTTCCTGCAGCCTCCCTTTACAGCTGCCAGCTGGACAGCCCTCTCCCAATTTTGATTGTGGTTTTGGATGCACCAGTTGAGACTGCCCCGATGACTGGGGGCGCCTCCTTTTGGGGCTGACGACATGTCAGCAGATTCTGGGCTCTTTGTACCATCACAGGCCCCCCTCACTTTCCCTCTGTTCACTCCTCCAAAGCTGTTGTTCCCAAGTGATTCTTTTGCTATTGATGGATTTAGCCCAAACTGCTCATTTATGGGATCCATAGGGATATTCTATCATCTAATTTTAGTGAAGATGGTGTCACTGTGATTTTTCTTTTGCTATCCTAGTTGTTCTATGGGGATCTGAGATTAAATACTCACTGCTGCTGCCATTCAACCTTCTACAATTGGTTTTTTATTTTAAAATGATTTTTTTTTTTTCTATTTCCACTGCTAACGCCCAGGATAGGACAGACTATGGTAAGTTTTAACATATAAATGCAAAATTTTAGTGACTAAACACGAGCACTATTTCTTGCCCATGTCACAGTCCAACGCAGTCAGCACGCTCTCCTGGTAGGTTTCCAAGCAGTGACTCACATGCCCTGGCTGCTTCCACTTTGCAAATTCTTTGTTTACAGCCAAACGGGAAGACAAGAGAGTGGTCAACGGTGACCACTGGTTGTGCCACAGTGAGTTTTACTGCCAGGTCTGGAAGCCACATATATCCCTCATCCCCACATCTTACTGGCCAGAACTCGGTTACATGGCTCCAAACTCACCATAAGAGAGGCTTGGAAACAGAGCCACACTAAGGATCTCTGCCACTATCTGTACAGCTGCCCAAGCAACATTGGGAAAGAAGGCAGACTATAAAACATAAGATGCTGCCTGTCTCTTCATGTATCTGTAAAAGGATTTAAGATGTAATCTGATCAAAGGACGGGTCATCACTGTTTTTAATAAGGTTTTAATTCCATTAGTACAAAACTTTAATTAAAAAAATTTTTTTGTGACTCAAATCGTCTTCAAGATCGCAAAAAACATGTTTCTATAGTCTTCAACTGCTGACAAATTTGGGGGAGAGTAAGGCAGCTTATATTCAAATAAAAATGAAAATGTCTCTAATTATAAAGATTCCAGTTAAATATGTCTTTTGGAATGATAAAGTATTAAACTGTACTACTAATATATGCAGTAAGAAAATGGTGGTTTGTCATCATTTATAAACATAAATGTATTTACAAACATTCTAAATATTCAATATACATACTTCAGGAGAAATCTAGTCTTAAGAGTGATGTTTATTACCTTTCATCTACCATGTCTGACACTATAAATATACTCACAATATTTAAATAAAAATGAAGTTCATGAAAATTTATAAAATAAAACCAATGTACTCTGACTTGTAATCATATCTTAAATATTTCAACTCTTCTTTTCTGGCCTGGTCAGACCATTTAAAAATATTTCCACACTATTTTAATTTTAGGGTACAAAACAGTAGCAACTTACTAAGTTTCCATTTTTTAAATTAATATAGAAATTCTCAAAATACTGAAAACCCTGTTTTATGAAAGCAGTACCCACATCATAACAACTTATTTCATTAAGAACACATCTTCAAAAGGCACATTTTAATGACTGGTATTTATCTAAAGATATTAGCTTGAGTTTTGAATTTCCAGTCAATTTTCCATTACCTCAACATTAAGATCATGGAGGGTCAGGGGAGGTAGGAGAACACAGGTTTCCAATGGACTTCTACTAGGACAGCAGTATCCTCACTCATCACATCCACGAAGACCAAGAGAAAGATGTGAAGGAAGGGAGAACGGCAGATCTGACTTCCATCCTAATTCAACCTTCAGGAAATACTTTTTATATAAAAATAACTTAATTAAAAAAATTATAGGACAGAAAGCTTAACAACAAAAGGCCAAGACCACAAACTGCCCAGTTTAGTCTGAGTGGTGATGTTATTTGTTTGGAGCCTAGGAAGAGAATGAAGCTCCTGCTTCTTTGGGATCAAATCTTCATATCAGGCTCATCTCAATTTCAATCACTTGATAAGTTAAAAGTACTACAAATTCCCAGGATGTCAGAAATACTGATATTCAAAATCAAATAAAAATGACTTAATGGTTATCTCTTAATGGTTCCCCTTTAACTGGGACTAGTATTCTAAAGTTGACTGTAATTATAATAACATCAGTAATTTCAAGTACCCTACAACACTACTATTATTTTTAAGAGCTTATGTCCTAGGACCTGACAATGCAACCCAGTATACAGTTTGCGTTATGGCTTACCTTTCAGTGAAGTTTAATACCAATTTAAGTACTAAATTGAACGAGATCAGTTCTCTGAGGTACTAACTGATTAAGTATTGATCCCATGCAAGAAACAGACGGGAATTTTTAATGCTATTCTGGAATTTCAAAATACTGGGGATCTATCTTAATTTCATATTATTCCCCTCAAGTCTCAGTTGAGTGCTTTCATTTTTTTAAAGGGGGAGATAGTGTTAGATTTTTTTTTCCCTCACTATAACAAAATAATTGACCAAAAATATTCTGAAGTACAAAAAAGAAAATGGTCATTGGTAACTTGAAATATAATTTTCTGGTCCCTAATAATGGTCACTTTAGGAGCATTTATTCAAGTTCTAAAGTAGCAGCTTTTTAAATTAAGGCAACATTGTTTTATTCTTACTATTTTCTATTAACTACTCTATTAAAGCTCATAAGAGCAGTTTCATCCTCAAAGGCCTTTTCTAATGTAAGAAGAGTTAACACGACCATTCTTCTCAATATTAAAAAAGTATATAAAAAGTCAACAAACACCTTATTTCAAAGTCAACAAACACCTTATTTTCCTGTTTGGAATTCTAGAGTAATTATAGGCATTCCAGAATGTGTAAACTATGAAATGACCTCTGAAACTAACATCAACAACATAAAATACAATTTTTCTACAAAAATACGACATAGGAGATATATCACTTCTTCCCTGAAATAGAAATTTAGTATTTGGACAAGAAACTGTAAACTTCAATTACATTCAAAAGAAAACCTTTTAGAAACTTATATTATTTGAGGTTTTGGCAACTGGAGCTCTTACCAGCAGGTTTACAGGGTGGTAATGTTGTAACAACACAATAATGCCAAACGGTTTCTTTCTCTCACATCTGCTACCAGGAGGAAAAAAAAGGCTTCCTGCAGTGGACAGTCTGGGTGAATGAATTGCTGAGGTGGACGATCCGACCCTGACCTCCACCTTGACTGCGCTCCACAATCACACAAGGCATCTGTACTAGCTGGACAGGACTCCTCCGGTCTCTCAATGCCTGAGTAAGATTTAAGATCTGTGGAAAGAAGAGAGGTTTTCATCAGTTCAAAAAAGATAAAAACCTTCCGTTCACTGACATTATTTTAACTGTCTATTCATAACTACAATTTTTATTTCATCCATTTATGCCCAACAGAGACTGTGATGAGGAGTAACTGCTATCAATATATATATATATATATATATGTGGATGTATGGATGCTTATACACACACATACATATACACAGGCAAATGCACAGGATTAAAATTAAATAATTTTTGCCAGTTGGTGACTTTGAAATATTCTATAATGCATCTATGTCCAGCAGCAATGGAGTCAGAGACTGAATGAAGTGAATGGTTCCACATACATACCCCAGTTGACACTGGACCTAAACAAATACTGGTCTAAATAGTCTGGTTTTTACTAAATACTTCCCTTACCCACTCATTCAACAAATAAATTTACTGCATGCTTATTATGTGCTAGGCTCTGTTCTAAGTGCTGGGGATGCAACAGTAAGAAAACAAACAAAATCTCTGCCTTCACAGAGCTCACATTTCAGCAGGGGAGGAGTCAATAAACATCACAAACAAGTCAATTACACCAAGTATTAGAAGGAAAAAGTGCTATGGGGAAGCATGACGTAGGGCAAGTGAATTAGAGAACTGGGGAAGGTAGCATTTAAAGTAAAGTTTTATTTAAGAGTCTATTCTTAAATGGGAAAAGTAAAACTAGGAAAAGTAAACTATATTACATTCCATGTTTAAACATACTCTTGGAATTGCTACTTGAGCATGTAAATAAGGTTATGAAACAATGCATAGCTTACAGCCTATTCTACTCTGTTCAAATAAAAATTTAATAATTCATTTTCTTTTTTTCCCTGCATATCAGGTAAAAAATTCCCTTTGGGGGCTTCCCTGGTGGCGCAGTGGTTGAGAGTCCGCCTGCCGATGCAGAGGACACGGGTTCATGCCCCGGTTCAGGAGGATCCCACATGCCGCGGAGCGGCTGGGCCCCTGAGCCATGGCCGTTGAGCCTGCGCGTCCGGAGCCTGTGCTCTGCAACGGGAGAGGCCACAACAGTGAGAGGCCCGCGTACAGGAAAAAAAAAAAAAAAATTCCCTTTGTTGTGTATGTTAGAAATAAGGATGTCTCCTTCAGGTATTTGAAAATATTTAATACACAGATGGTGTGCATTTTACTAGTTGTTGTAAAGACTGTTTAATAGTGAGATAAGCATAAAGGTTTCAACATAAAGCCATACTAATAAATAAATGTCATAATACTTGAACAGTATAAACTAGATGGTTTAGATCCTGGAAGATCTGAAGTATTTAATACATCAGAGAAATAAACCTTTACTAGTAATAGTAGCTACTCATTGTATTTATGGTTTAGGATTCCTTTTAAGCTCTTCCCTTAAAATCTTCTAGGCTGGTTATGTTTGGATAAAAAGACAAAAAGAATTTACAAAATTTATGTTTATAAGCATTGTGCTTACCATGAAAATAAATGTGGGTACCAGCATGGCTAAGGAATGAAATATTCAGTTAAGTTTCCTCTTTTGATTTTAAAAATCCTATTCTAAACATGTTAATCTAAACACACTAATTTAAGTAACATCTAATATCTTCCTGACTCTAAAAACAATACATGATTGTTGTAGAGAATCTAGAAGCAGAATGGTACAAAGAAAATGAAAGTCATTCTACAAGACTAAAAAATTTCAAATATATATTAGCAAAAATTATTCAGTCTTAAAACTATCCAAAATATTAGTATTTCTTTGGGAGTTGAGAAGACACTTGATGATCTTGCATTTATTTACTAAAGAAATGTTTACCGAGCACGCGCTGTGTTGGGGAGAGGACTAAATACGAGGGAAAAAACCCATCTGAGCCCTTAAAGTGCACACATTCTAGAAACAAACAGCCACACGAACAAATAGCTGGAATGTAGTGTGACAAACACTTCAGCAACAGTGGATCTATGCCCTGACTTTACAATCTGATCCCCTCCTTTACATACCACTCATTTTTTCATTTCCCAAAGAATAAACACATCTATTACTATATCTTTACATCAGAGAAGATTATTTTTAGAAATAGACTAAACATTGCAGGCAAGGAAAAACTATTTATTTATTTATTTATTTATTTTGCGGTACACGGGCCTCTCACTGTTGTGGCCTCTCCCGTTGCGGAGCACAGGCTCCGGACGCGCAGGCTCAGCGGCCATGGCTCACGGGCCCAGCCGCTCCGCGGCATGCGGGATCCTCCCGGACCGGGGCATGAACCCGTGTGCCCTGCATCGGCAGGTGGACTCTCAACCACTGCGCCACCAGCGAAGTCCAGGAAAAAAACTTTAGAATGCTCCATCTATGCCACATTTGATACCACAGTAGGGGTGTGATAGGTCAAGGGCAGATGGTGTGAACTCACAGACTTCTGCATATAGACTTTGCTTTCCTTTGGACTAGTTCACTGGTCCTCAAATTTTAGTGGGCATGAGAATTACTGCACTATCTACATAAAACTATGTATATTCTACTTCCTGGTTGGTTTTAAGCTATTTTTCAACTGTACTATGCCCAATTTGCTGTCCTTTTTTTTTTTTTGGCCTGCACCGTACGGCTTGTGGGATCTGTTTCCTGACTAAGGATTGAACCTGCGCTGCAGCAGTGAAAGCCCGGAATCCTAACCACTAGGCCACCAGGAAACTCCCCCCAACATGCTGTCTTAACATCCAATTTCTGAGTGAAATGTGACCCCAATACTCCCATGGAGTGCTAGGGAAATCAGAACTCCTTGAGTGGCAGGAGGAGCCTAGGAAGACAGAGCTGGAGCTTGAAGGAAAAACTGTTCTCCAGAAGGAGAGGAAAAGGCACCCCAGGAGAGACGACAGCACGCAAAGAGCACCACTGGGAGATGTGAACTGGGACTGAAGAACAGTTCTGAGCGGCTAGGCTTAGGGGAAGCTGACAGTGACAAGAGATAAAGGTAGCTATGTTGCTGGAGGCAGACTGCAAAGGTGTTGGAGACGGTGCTCAAAGTCAGGGCTTAAGCCTGTACTGACTGACAAATCAGGGGAGTTTTAAATCACAAAAGAGATGATCCTATCTGCTTTGAGAAAGATTGTTCTGGTCTAATGTGGAAGAAGGATGGCAAAAGAGGTAGGGACACTACTTAGAAGATCACTAAATCCAGAGAAGAGATGATAAGGACCCCAGGCAGGGGCAATGCCGAAATGTTGCAGATTTGCCAGACTTTAGACTCCCTTATTAAACAGATGCAACATGTTAACCCCTTTGAGCCAAGTTACAAAATGCAGACAACTATGTAGAGCTGTTATGAGGAAAAATAATAACAAACAAAAATATCTCGTAAAGAGTCAAGTACTCAGGAGGTACGAAAGCGTCATTTTCATTTTCTTTAACATCAATTTTTACTGAATCTGCAAATGAGCTTCTGGTTTATATATCACTGAATAGAATTTCACTCTGTATTAATGAAACTGTTTTAGTAATCATTTCTGCCACTTTTTTCAGATCGTGTATAAAATGTATTTCAAATAAATAAATATTTCTGAGGTCCAGTGCTCCAAAGAGGCACAGGTAGAATATAAAATGAATGCTCGGATTGAGCTTGATCATGACCCTACTGCTAGTTAATGTAAAATTCAAAAATTTTAACTGAATAAACATTTCTAGTCAAATATTAAAAGAAATTCCTTCATAGTAGTTCCTAATTCCAGTCCACATCTTTATATGTAGAATGAGAATTGTCACTGATTATGTGTGCAAAACTAAAAACTTACTATAAACTAGGACAAAAGACTAGGTTGTACGAAGCACAAATCATGATGCTAATTGGCAAAGTTAGAAGGGAGAGGGATTCAAGGGATAATTATAAATGACTGAAATAATGAAATGGAGCAGGACCCTATGTCCTCTGCCTGCCTTTTGTCTGTGGAAAAACCTTAGCCAGAGAATAAGTTTAATCAGAGAAATGCAAAAATACAGAAACAAAGGAAAACAGCCAAAGGAGACCAAATAATAACAGGTTAGTCACTAAGCACAGTCAAAGACCCTTAGTTCCTCCTCAAGGGCTACAGATAATATTCTGGGCCATATCCTGTGAGCTGTCTTATAGATACTGAAACCCCCATCAAGTGGGAGAAGTTAACTACATGATGACCAGACTGTAGCCATGACTTAAGCTGCCACAATTCCAAGAATTGGCCTCAAGGAAATGGGAACAAACCGACCCTGGAACTGAAGATTAACTGTACTTAAAACAACCAAGATGACGCTGGTCAGACCACCGCATGACCAATTTCAAGATGACTGTCAGAGCTGGCTGTGCTGTTTCTGCATGTAGCCCCCTCCCTCCAATATAAAAGCTCTTGCGGGCTTCCCTGGTGGCGAAGTGGTTGAGAGTCCGCCTGCCGATGCAGGGGACACGGGTTCGTGCCCCGGTCTGGGAGGATCCCACATGCCGTGGAGCGGCTGGGCCCGTGAGCCGTGGCCGCTGGGCCTGTGCATCCGGAGCCTGTGCTCCGCAGAGGGAGAGGCCACAGCAGTGAGAGGCCCGCATACCACACAAAAAAAAAAAAATGCTCTTGCCCACTGGTTGTAGGAGGCGGGGAGGGGAGCTGGCCATTGGACAGGCGCCTGCCCTCCCCGCCCAGCTGCCGGCATCTAAAATAAAGCAAACTTTCCTTTCCACCAACCTTGCCTCTTTATTGGTTTTTGAGCGGCCAGCAGCCCGGATCCCACTTTCGGTTTCAATAACACAGTATTTTGACTCAATTAAGGAACTGGCTGAATAATGAATTTTGTTCCTTGAAACACAGGTATTAGTTTTTGTTTGTTAAGCCTTGGTTTCAAAGCACTGATTCACTTTAGAATATAAAATAATACCTGATTTTTTTCAGACCAGCTTTTTTTAAAAAAGGGTTAAAATCAGAGAGCTACACAATCATGTACATGGTCAGAGTACCTTACTCTTTTTGGCTATCAGAAAGGTCAAAACAAAATTAAAATAAAAAACCAAAACAAAATCAAATTGAAACATATAAGGTTTTATTTTATTTTTTCTTTCCCAGATCCTGATCCTGTCACTTTTATATTCTATTACACCCATTTGTATAATACTTTACTCCTTTGTATAATACTTTACTCCAGGATATGAATAAATAAACCTAAAACAGCAGATAGCCACTGGTATATCTTTGTAATAGACCTCAGAACTAGAATGTCCCCATATCTGTTCAGACAAGCAATTTAAAATTAAAATTAAAATTTCTCACGTACTAACTTTAATCTACAATTAAAGCTTAAAAGATTATTTACAGCTTTTATTAAAAAAAACCCACACAAACATTTCTGAAATAAAGATACATCTTTAGGGATAAGAGAATTCCAGAAGATGGAGCATATTGTTAAGTCAAATAGATTTGTTTCAAGCAAAAATGCCAAATTAGGGCATAATTACCTATGCCTGAAAATTTAGTTCAAATATAGTTTAGGGTGGTAACACTCAGCAACATAATTACAATCATCAATCATCTAAGCCCATCATTCATACCTGAATTACCGAAAACACCTCCCCACAAGGCTCCCTGGTTCTAGACTCATCTGCTGAGTCAATGTGCACCCCACTGTCCAATCTGCAGGGGTTCTTTGTTGGGTTATGGACACCTTTTGCTGGGATATAAATTCTATTGCCCACTCCATGCCCAAGACGCACATATAAACAGAATTTAGCACATAATCTCAGGGAGTTCATAGGAGAAACCCCAGGGTAAGGTCTCCTCTCGGGAAATGTAAGTCTCATCATAACTCTCCCTTTTAAAAAAATATTCTGATTCCTTTTTTATTATATACGATATGTTAGCAGCTTATACATACCATTATGCACTACATTTTATAATATATTCTGGAGATCTCTCCATACTAGTAAATAGACAACTTAGTCATTATCACAGCCCTTTTTAAAAAATTGAAGTACAGTTGAATTGCATTAGTTTCAGGTGTATAGCTTAGTGATTCTTTTTTTTTTTTTTTTTTTGCAGATTATACTCCATTAAACGCTATTACAAGATATTGGGTATAATTCCCTGTGCTATACAGTAAATCCTTGTTGATTATCTATTTTATGTACAGTAGTTTGTTAATCCCATACTCCCAATTTGTCTCTCCCCTCTCCCTCTCCCCTTTGGTAATCATAAATTTGTTTTCTATGTCTGTGAATCTGTTCCTGTTTTGTATATAAATTCATTTGTATTATTTTTTAGATTTCACATATAAGTGATAATCAAAGTTTTGTCTTTTGCTGACTTATTTCATTAAGTATAATATTCTTTAGGTCTATCCATGTTGTTGCAAATGGCAATATTTCATTCTTTTTTATGGCTGAGTAATATTCCACTGTATTCTAAGCCAATCATCTGTTGATGGGCACTTGGGTTATCACAACTGCTCCAATCCCTTCCATGTGGAGTCTATACCCGGCACTTAAGGCCCTCCAAAATCTGGCTCTAGCCTGCTTCTCCGGCCATTTCACTTACTATTTAAAACGTATGACTCCAGCAAAGCACTGTATAAGTGCAAGAGAACACAGAGAGATGTATATGCTAATAATCTGTCCCTTTTCCTGACCCCCAGCCTCATCAGAAGCAAGAGCTCCATCAGAGTAGGAACTTGGTTTTTACTCACTGCTTTATCTCAATCATTAGGACAGTTTCTGGCTCTGGTTCTGTCAATAAATATATGATGAATACACAGTTATCTAATTTAACTATATCTATTTGTTAATGTTATATAATAAATAGTGCAAAACCTAGACTTGTCTTCTTTGTCACAGGTACGCAGCAAACAGCTACCTTAAATAAAATGCATATTTTAGGAAGAAAAAGTTAATTAGTAAGTCACTAAAAGACAATGTTTACACTATAGTTTATTTTCATTTCAAGTCTTCCTTTTGGAATCTAAATACTGTTAGTAGAGTAGAAGAACCAGACGTCACCTGTAGGTCAGCCCAGCCTGCAGGTCCACACCAGCAGATGTAATTGATACCCTGTATTGCTAATGAAAGGAGGCGAAAAGGAGTGAGAGGACTGAGTTACAACTAGCACTTTTATGTCCTAATTAGTGCTCAACCATGGTGACATGGTTATTTACTGACTGCTCTAGCAAAGGCCAAACATATTTTATGAGGAAAATAATCAACAGGAAACAGAACTTGGTACTGAAACATTCAAGCAAGTGGATTTGAGGAGGAAAACGATACCAACACTCAGGAAAACAGTTATCAAAATGAGGACAAGAATTAGCAGCAGGAGGAAACTGGCTAATAAACAATACACAACAAGGTAAAAAAAATCTAATACAGAAGACAAAAGAGAAAAAAAGAGTACTGAAATCAACTTCATTTCTAATCATCTGAGCTACTTTGGTTCAGAATAAAGGACAGTGTTGAGAGCTGCATCTTTGGGTCACAATGGAAAAAAAAAAGTTGACTACTGTTTCAAAGAGAGAGTTTTTCCTTAATGAACAAGATCTTAAAAAGGTGACCTACCTGACCCCTCATCACAGACATCTGCCTTTCAAAAGTGGCTTTGTCAAATCTTCTGTCAGTCTATCACAAAAAGCAAAGAAAACATTACTACAATTCTAAAAATCAGGATCTTTGGAAAAAAAAATTGAAAATCAATGAACTCTTCAACTCAGCACATAAGGTCATTAGAAAGCATTCCTAATAGAAAAAAACAGCATGAAAAGATTATTTTTAATTGATGTATTTTCATATTCCTCCAGAATGACAATAAACAGTGTAGTTATACTCCAACTTGTTCCAGAAAGGATTTAAAATGACTTTCCAGCCAATGGGTTTAGGCTTTTTTTAAAAAGAAAATTGAATCATAGCAGATCACCAAACATTTATTATAATTCAGAGTAATTTTATAAAAATTCAACTTTTGAAGAAAACAACTTCTCAAATTACAATGTAATTTCACTTCAAAGAATACTCATAGTGTAACTTCACAAACTTATGCTCCTATAAAGTAAAACTGTGAATTCCTTTCTGTTATGTCAGGTTCTACTGCAAGCAGTGATACCAGAAGCAGTAAACTGCAAATCAACTCTATTAATAAAATCTCTTTTAAGATTTATTTCATTTTCTGCAATAATTAAAACTAAAAACTTATTTACCTTAAAAAGTTCATAAAGATCTTCACATAAATCTTGCACAAAGTTCATGTCAGAAATATGTGGTAGAACCAAATTTCTTATTTCTTCAGAAAAAGGAACTTTTGCTTGAGGAAGCCAAGCCCAGTGAAATGGATCTAATAAAAAAAAAAAAAGTATTCTTATCAGTGAGGGGAAATGGATTATTTAGACCTAAATTTACCCTGTTTTTCCCCTACAGTTCCTAGGTTAAAAAAAAAAGACAGGAGACCTAGAGGGGTGGGATAGGGAGGGTGGGAGGGAGACACAAGAGGGAGGAGATATAGGGATATATGTATATGTATAGCTGATTCACTTTGTTATAAAGCAGAAACTAACACACCACTGTAAAGCAATTATACTCCAATAAAGATGTTAAGGAAAAAAAAAGGAGAAAGGAGGTATCAGAGAGAACAATTAGTTTTTGCCATCTAAATTATTCAGATTTCTAAGTTTGGATGGTTAATTCAGATGGTAAAGCACAGTAAGGTATTACCTGAACTGGTTAGGTTTCTGAGTTTATAGGAAACAGTAAGAGTTTTGATAATGAGTCTATCTCAAACAGCCCTATATCAAAAAATATATCTGGGGCTTCCCTGGTGGCGCAGTGGTTGAGAGTCCGCCTGCCGATGCAGGGGACACGGGTTCGTGCACCAGTCTGGGAAGACCCCACATGCCGCGGAGCGGCTGGGCCCGTGAGCCATGGCCGCTGAGCCTGCGCGTCCGGAGCCTGTGCTCTGCAACGGGAGAGGCCACAACAGTGAGAGGCTCCCATACTGCAAAAAAAAAAAAAAAAAAAAAATCTATCTATCTATCTATCTATCTATCTATATATATGTACGAATCTCTGGTTCCTGTGTTTGGAAACTGAGGGGTATCTATAATTTGTTCACAGCCCCAGATACCATGGCCGAGGTCTCCCTGCCTTTTCAGCCATAAGTTATCAGGAACTGACCACTCATATTTGTATATGTGTGTGTGTATGATGTTCCAAAATTTTAAATCATTACTAGGTAAACAGGTAATTGGCTTTGAGGGATAAAAGATCCATGATTCTGGGCTAACTCTAGTTCTCTCCCGAGAAGACCATTAAATATACACAGTGCCAGAACTAGAAAGATTTGTAACGTAGTGCAATTGTCTAGATAGGGTACATATTCAGATTCATGCAAGAAAATGTAAGGCTTATGAGAATATGATCACCCACAGAACTCCAGTGGGTACATCCAATGCGAACCTTCAGCTCCTACCATGTAGAAAGCCCTGAGGAAAAAACTCTGCCTTTAGAGTCATTCCTTCTGAATTCTCTTTTATCTATCTCTTTGAACACTGTGGAAAGTACAGTCCATTCCAAAGAAAGCCTTTCCTGTGGCCTACATCTCTGAAGCTATGTCCAATTTCCCTTTGACCTTTCCCTGGCCAATTATATAAAAGAAAAGCCCTGATTCTATGCCTGCCTTTACTTCCAATCCCTATCCCTCAACTTCCACTATCACCATTCAAACTCTCCCCTAAGATCACCAGTCATCTCATAAGGGTTTCTCCAAAAGCCCATTTTCAGCCCTCATGCTACCTCATGTGTCTTTGCAGCAAGCAGCACTGTTCTCTATCATCTCCCTCTGAAATTCTCTTCTGTGTAGTTTTGGAGATGCCACTCTCTCAAACTTTACCTTCTGTCTTTTAAGCCATTTCTCTTGTTTGCTGGCTTTTCCTCTCATTTTCAATGTCACCATTCCCAGATTCTATACTTAGTCCTTCCTCTCTTTCATCTACTAAATATTCATGAAACATTTATTGAGTACCTATGTACCTCACATTGTCCTAGTGGTGGCATTTGTTCACCATAATTTTCCCAGGTGATAGCAATACCACCACGGCTTCCACTTACCAAGGTGACAATTTAAAAATGACATCCTCAATACCAATTAATCTTTCAAGTTCTAGACCCTTAATCCCCAACTGTGTTTGGTAAAATTTTCCAGGTGTACTGTAGGCATCTTAAACTTGACACTTTTAAAATACAATTTGCATAGAGATTCCAAACCATTAGAGGAAAAAAAAAAAAAATAGAACAAAGACATCTCAAGTCAGTTCAACCAAAGATAGGAAGGAAAAAAAGAAAAAATTGAAATTCATGGTAAATAGAAAAAAAAAAAAAAGATGGCAGGAACAGTTCAAACACATCAGTAGTTTATTGAGACAAACTACAGAGTTAAGTATACCGGTTAAAAGGATCTCAGATTGGGTAAAAAAAAAAAAAAAAAAAAAAAATTCAGCTAAGTTCATATGTCATATCAAAATAATGAAAGTTGAAAATAAAAGTACAGAATAATACAGGTAAACACTAATAAAAAGAAGCGAGGTACAGCAATGTTACAACAGATGAAATAAGAAATGCCAAAAACACTGTGAGGGATAAAGTGGGATATATTTTACACTAATAAAAAGAACAAGCCAACAGCAAGATAAAACGCCAGGCCTTTGTGTGTGAAAAACAAAAGCAAAAAATGCAAAGAAATGCAAAAAGAAACTGACAAAATTACAATCACAGTGAACTTTGTCTCTCAAAAATTAACAGATCAAGTGGTCAAAAAATATATCAAGAATATGATTTGACTAACAAGCTTTCATTAGTAGACAGACACAGAACTTTGTGCCTAACCGCATTCTTCTCAAATACAGTCCTTCAAACTGGCCATATATCAAGTTACAAAAGAATTACTAAAAAATTTCAAAGAGCAGAATTCACACAGTTAACATTCACAGATCACAAAGCAATAAAACTTGAAAATAACAATGGACAGTTTTTTTAATCAACTGCCCTAGAAATTTAAAACCAAACAAAATACTTCTAAATTATTCCTGTCAAAAATAAAATCGGAAAGTATGAATATGTAAAAGCAGAACAACAATGCAACACCTAGCCAATCTTGCTTTAGCCAAATGATACCTAGAAAAAAAAAATATAGGAAAATAAAATAGCACGAACACAATAGAACAAAATAATAATGGAAAACATAAATTATGAAAAAGAAAAAGCAAATAAACAAACTGGAAACCTGATCAATAGAAGGCCAATTATCTGATAAAAGCGAAAAATATATATATAAAATATATTTATATAATTATGTATATTTGTTTTGTACATTATATTTATATATAATCATATATATTATGTATATGGGCCAATGTTTTACAATAGACAATCTTGGGCAAGTCTAGTGAAAAAAAATCTAATAAGCAGTAGGAATTTAAAAGAGGCATAGTCATAGATACAGAGATTATTTTTTTAATTTATTACATATATTTCAAACATACACAAAAATTTTAAAAACTAGTACAATGAATTCCCATATTCTGAATAACCTAATTCAATTATTCCCAAATTTCTTATAAAATTTGTTTGATCTATCCCTGTTTTTCCTCCCCCTAAGTATTTTAAAGCAAATTCCACTTCATTTCACCCCTAAAAATTTAATATGCACAGAGGGGATTTCTTAAATTATAAGAGAATTCTATAAAACACTTATATGCATAAATTACAACTCAAGATAACATGGATAATTTAAAGCAAAATAACAACGTCTAAAACTGGCTCAAGAAGACGTAGAAAACCTGACCATTAACTGTAGAAGAGACTGGTAAGGCAGTTAAGCCACTACTCACTGGAAAAGGGGGAGGTAGGCCTAAATTGTTTTAGAAGTGAATACTACCCAAATATGAAAATAAAATGCTACCAAAATATTAAAATAGATAATTCCCATATTACATACATTTTAAAACTGGAAAGCTATCAAACTTATTTTACAAGGCTAATACAAGCCAAAAAATCAAAATCAGACAGTCATCCAAAAATAAGCAAACAATACATGGCAAGACCCACAGAGCACAGTACACATCTTTGCATCCCTAGTGCCTAGAACTGAGCCCTGATGAATGACTGTATTTCACCCAGTTTTTCCTCTGCTATTGTGATATCCATAAATTTCATTCCCTTCTTAGTCTGGAAAAGGGGTAACTATAGAATCTATGGAAAGTTCTAAATACTCACATGCTCTCCACTCATCAGGATGTTTAAAAGGAAATGCTAGACCATTATCAATTGCAGCTATTTTAATAAGCGCTTCTTTATCATCAGTCCATTTTGTTTCCTGAAGGGGAGAAAAATAGTCTGTTGATAAAAAAATTTATATGCATATTTCCAAAAGATAATTTATAACAATTATTGAGGTTTAAAGACATTTTATCTGAAGAGCTTATAAAAATAAAGTTGCCAGAAGGTACCAATTTACCCTTTAAGGGAAGAAACTGTCTTAAGAATCAGTAAAAACTTCATAATCACTATTTTTTCTTAAAATTTGGTATTACAAACTCATGCATTAATAGTTTCATTTTTTTCCTCTTTGGGGAAGAGGGCTTGGAATTATCAAGACTTTAAAAATTGTACTTCGGGATAATTTATTGTTAGATACATTGCTTAAGTGTATGGTATTTGCAAAATATTGATATTTTTAAGATAACAACTTAAAGTTACCTTATTAAAATCAAGTCTTTCCTACGGTCTCATAGAAATAATTAGTTCAAACACAAAATGCTTCTAAATAAAACTCCCCAATGACCATAGCTAAATATAATAAGGTCCAGTAGAAGGAACTTCAAGACACTCTTGATTACAGAATGTAGGCCATTCCTAACTTCTCCATTCTTCTGTAAGGGAAACGAAGACCTCAGGGACAAGAGACTTTTCATGTTAAGCAGTACTTCCTATTATCAAAAAATAGAGGGTTGTCATTATTAAGTGGCCTAGATAAAATAACAAGACGTGAAAAAGATAATTTTTAAATTGAAAGTATTAGAGTGAAGGTCCAAGTGATATATGCCAGGTTTGTTCCTGTTAGTTTATATCAAATATCTCGATGAAAATGCACAAAACACTTAAGAGCAAAAGAATAAGGTTTTCAGTAAAATCCAATTGCTTAAGATATACCAATAAAATATATTTAGGAACTGTTATAAATATGAATATTTTTATATGTGTATTTTAAAACCCATTTCTGCTATAACTGCCATTTATTTTTATTTCTATCATTTTTTTCTATTTACAACTTTATGAGGTATATATATATATATTTTTTTAAAGGAATTTTGCCTTATTTATTTATTTATTTTATTTTACTTTGGCTGTGTTGGGTCTTCGTTTCTGTGCGAGGGCTTTCTCTAGTTGTGGCAAGTGGGGGCCACTCCTCATCGCGGTGCGTGGGCCTCTCACTATCGTGGCCTCTCTTGTTGTGGAGCACAGGCTCCAGACGCGCAGGCTCAGTAATTGTAGCCCACGGGGCTAGTTGCTCCGGGGCATGTGGGATCTTCCCAGACTAGGGCTTGAACCCGTGACCCCTGCATTGGCAGGCGGACTCTCAACCACTGCGCCACCGTGAGGTATAATTTACACACAATAAACTTTACATATTAAAGTGTACAATTTGACAAGCACTGACAGATGTGAAACCACCCAGAAGTTTCCTTGTGTCCCTTAGCAGTCCCCTCCCTCCATCTACCCCACCCCAGGCAACCATGGCCTGCTTTCTGTCCCTAGGGATTAGTTTGAACTTCCTAGATTTTTATATAAAAGGAATCAGACAGTATCTTCCATTTTGTGTAGCTTCTTTCACTTGGCAGGATTTTGAAATTCATTCACATTATTGTGTATATCAAGCTCATTCTTTTTTTATTGCTGAGTACTATGAATATGTAATTTTAAATTTCTTTGATGAACACGGAAAACTACAAACTTTTAAAGTGATGCAACAGCTTTAAGTGATGAGAATACACAGACTGTAAACATTAGAGAAATTTAGTTTTAATCAGTTAAAACTTTCTTAAATGTATAAACTGATTTAAACTAATAAAATTATTCTGAAAATATCTCTCATGTAAATATCTAAAATTTGAACTTGGGTAGTCAAAGTTGATAGGAATGGATCTAAAATCTATCATTCTGATACTGTTAAGGGTCTTCACAGTCTATTATGTACATGAAAACCAGCTTCTTATAAGCATTAGAAGTATATTTTTTTAAGTTCAATGGCTATAATTCACAGGTAAAGCACATAGGTTCCATTTTACTGGGTAATTCTGTATTACCTAATCCTGAGTCATAAGGCTCAGAAAGAAGTGAATTAGTAAAATATAAAAAATACTAGAAGCCTTTCTTTATTATATAAAAGCAAAATAAATATGGTGGTTATACAACAAATTTCCAAAGCCCTAAAAAAAGTACTGAGCTGGGCTTCCCCGGTGGCGCAGTGGTTGAGAGTCCGCCTGCCGATGCAGGGAGACACGGGTTCGTGCCCTGGTCCGGGAAGATCCCACATGCCGCGGAGTGGCTGGGCCCGTGAGCCATGGCTGCTGAGCCTGTGCGTCCGGAGCCTGTGCTCCACAATGGGAGAGGCCACAACAGTGAGAGGCCCGCGCACCGCAAAAAGGAAAAAAAAAGGACGGAGCTGATATCATTCTTCTATACTAATACAACATAAAAAATAAAACTGCACAGAGGTTTTGAAAATAGAATAAAAAATACAATGTAAACAGGTGAAGGAAAGAAAAAAGAGGATAAAAACAGAAAAAGGAGATAAAAACCAAGGGTCTAGGTGAAGGAGAGGATGTGATGAAAAATAACTTAACATGAAGGAATTTTTTACAGAAATTGATAGCGTGTGTATGTGTATATACATATATATATTAAAATGTCCTTACCGTAATTTCATCTTCTTGTTTCTGGTTTTCACATCTGATTAACCAATTATCATTTCCCCTGTCTTTCAAAACAAACAAAAAATCTCTTACTTCATTTTTTTATGGACATCATAGTTTAATACCAAGGCGAAAAATTTAGTCATCACTTTTTGAGACCTTTATTTGTTATCTGTAGCATATGGACATATTAAAGGCTCCAATTTAACACATACAGACTAAAAATACTCATAAATGTTAGCTAACATTCATTGAGATTTACTCTGTGCCAGACATTGTTGTAAGTGCTTAACATGTATTAGTTCACTGAATTCTTAAAAACACTCTGTGGTAGGTACAATTACTGTCAAGAACTCTTAAACCAAGGTTATTAAAAAGGATAATTTCTCTTCACCTTGGGAAAAAAAGCATCTACCCCCATTTCCAGGCAAATTCCTGGACAGGCTCTTACCTAATGTCTCTATTTTTTAAAAAATTGAACTATAGTCGATTCGCAATATTGTGTTACTCTGAGGTGTACAGCAGTGATTCAGTTATATATACATATTTTTTTCAGATTATTTTCCATTATAGGTTATTACAAGATATTGAATATAATTCCCTATGCTATACAGTAAATCCTTGTTGCTTATCTGTTTTATGTGTGGTAGTTTGTACCTGTTAATCCCATACTCCTAATTTATCCCTCCTTCCTTCCCTCTCCCCTTGGGTAACCATAAGTTTGTTTTCTATGTCTGTGAGTCTGTTTCTGTTTCGTATGTAGCTTCATTTGTACTATTTTTTTGGATTCCACATATAAGTGATATAATATTAGTTTTGTCTTCCTCTGTATGATTTACTTCACTAAGTATAATATTCTCTGGGTCCATCCATACTGCTGCAAATGGCAATCTCTCATTCTTTTTTCATGGCTGAGTAATATTCCATTGGATTCTACACTAATTTTAACATTAACTTAAGACCATATGATTTAATAAAGGTAAATCTAAAAAGGTACATAATGCTTCTCCAGAAACTAATATAAATGAGCAAAGATTTTGAACCAGTGGTTCTCAAGCTTCAGGGTGCATGAGAATTACCTGGAGGACTTATTAAAACACGAACTGCTGGCCTCACATTCAGCAGGTCTGGGCTGGGCTCCCAGAAGATGCATTTGTAACAAATGCCCATATAATACTGACCCTGACAGTCCAGGGAACCACATTTGGGAACCACTGTCGCAGATTATCTATTATGTTGGCCAAAAAGTTTGTTCGGGTTTTTCCATAAGATGTTACAACATTTCCAATTTCCAGCAGGCTTTGTCCTGTTGCCAAGAAACTCCCCTCTCCCGAGGGATAGGAACTGATTGCTATCACCTGGGCAGGAGCCTGCTCTGAGTCAGAATTTCCAGTACGAGATTAGTTCTGCCTGGGAGAGTTGGTACTACACCTCTGTTTTCTAAGGAACGTAAAGAAGAAGTGGCCTCAGGGCTTCCCTGGTGGCACAGTGGTTGAGAGTCTGCCTGCCGATGCAGGGAGACACAGGTTCGGGATCCCGGTCCGGGAAGACCCCACATGCCGCGGAGCGGCTGGGCCCGTGAGCCATGGCCGCTGAGCCTGCGCATCTGGAGCCTGTGCTCCGCAACAGGAGAGGCCACAACAGTGAGAGGCCCGCATACTGCAAAAAAAAAAAAAAAAAAAAAAAAGTGGCCTCAAGACTACTGCATCAAAATTTTATGTCTTTGATTTGGATAAACAAGAGCTGAATACAATTTGAAAGTTAACAAGATTTGAGGGAACAAATGAGAGAACTTCAGTACCTGTATTTCTGATGAGGTAATCCAAAATAACTAATCTTTCAAACTGTGACTGAAATTGTTTTCTAATATTCTCAGGCAAAGGGTCAGCTTCAAATTTCCTAAGCCAATATTCAGCCTCCTTGTAACCTTCAACAAATAACTGAAAGGAACCAATCTATAATTTTAAGAATTATAGTTAGAAAAGAAAATATAAAAACAAAGAGACTACTTTTTAAAGTTCTCAGCAGTATTGTCATAAAATACTTTACATGAACACAATAAGAAAAATCAAAGTTAACACTAATTTAGATAAGCCACATTTATCAAGAAAACTATTTTTATACACTAATTTAAAATAATCACATAAAGACTACATAGCAAATAAAAAATGCTCAATCCTAGACTTTCAAGGAGCATAGCAGCTATTTTAGGATAACTAAAAAACAAAATACACATGTGCCCTTAAGGTGATATTCTCAACAAGAATGCTGTTTTCTAAAAATATTCATTAACATGAAGTTAATTTTGAAGACCAAATTTTACACCTATCCTCGTTATTTATTTAATAATCGTATAATTTTATCTTACTGAAAAAATACTTCAGGATTCTTTTTACAACATAAGATACAGAAAATGACTTTACTTTTATAAAAGAATGAATTCTTTGACTATGTAGCTTAAAGATCCTGTCATAAATTTTAAAGAAGTAACCAATTAATCATAACCTCTATAGTGGTTTTTTTAAAAAGTCCTTTCCTTGAAGATATGTCTATTTTATAAAGTCTTCTATCGCTAAAATTACTAGTTGTTAATGTTAAACAAGTTTTTAAAGACGGAAATACAAATTTAAATAGCACAGGACACATAGGTAATGGGTAACGTAGCTGGCCTCATAAATATTTACAAACAAATCCCTACAAAGAAAACCTATTTAGGACTCCACGTTTTCACTGCCGAGGGCCCAGGTTGGCTCCCTGGTCCAGGAACTAAGATCCCACATGCTGGGCAGTGCAGCCAAAAAAAAAAAATCGTATCCTTATCACTTATCCTAACACTTTATTTTCTTGTTGGCATGAAATTTTAATGATTTCCTAAATGTTTTCTCTAAAGCACTCATAATGAAGTCCTAGTAGTCATAAATACAGAAATAATACCCTTCTTTAGTCACACCTATTTCAGCATATGCAAGGAGTAACAGGCCTTGTAAATTTTTTCAAAACTTCCTGCTTACTTGGAGTACAATACTAAAGACAAGTTAGGATAACCGCATTTCTACTCAAATTCTTTTATATAGATAAATGCATAGCAACAACAAAACAACAAAATTGCAGGTTAAATATAATTAAAAAATAATAAAGCCTACTGCTTTTTCTAGAATGTTTTTCCCATTAACCCGCCCTACCCTTGCTTAGCTAGTTGCTAATCATCCCTTAGGTTTATTTAAAAGTGATAAGAAAAAACAAAATCTAGTATGTATTGAGTACACTCGGCTACTATCGTTTACTATGTGCCAGGTACTGTATCAAGTACTTGACATATATTTTTTCATTTTATTCTCACAACCCTAAGAGGTAGTTTTTCATTAGCCCCGTTTTACAGAGACTGGGGCTTGGAGAGTAAGGGACCTGCCCAAGGTCTCAGAGCTAACTGGTGGAGAGGGTTGGAATAAAACCTAGGTCTAATTCTCAGCCTGCACTTTTAGCCATTACTTTATAAAGCCTTAGGTGCAGCCTCCTCTTGGCAATTCCCTAGCCCTCCAAAGTGGGTTAAATATCCCTCCTCTACCCTCTCTGAGCTCCCTGCACTTAACCATCCTCAACAGCTTTATCACATTGCGTTGAGACTGCTTGTTACTATAAGCTGTTGAAGATGAGAAAACCGTTTTTACTAATATATATCCACAGTCCACAGCACAGTGCCTAGCACACAGAGCTCAGGCAATATGTGATGAACTTCACCCCAAATAAAGCGTATCGCAGTAACTTACCTTAGGAGGAAGTCCTATCCGATGAAATTTTCTACCTACTTTTGGCACTTTCTCTAAAGCATACTTTTTGCCTCTAGATTTTGCACGGTCAATTGCACTGTAGTTAAATGTCTCACTGACGAGCCAAACCACCTAGAAACGTACAGTTAAAAAAAATGGCTATTAGCATTTGCATTATAGTATTTCTATTCACATACACCATGGAACTCACTCTAATGCTGTAAATTAGCAAAGTTTAACACTATACTAAATGCTCCTGAGAATCTAAAATAGAAAGGCTAAGCGATTTGGCAAAGTTGGTTAAATGGCACACATGTATTTCTTTCTGAGAGAGGCAGCTAAAATTGGCCAGTGGAAGAAAGAAGTAATAGTCTTGAAATGTAGAATTAGGAATGAACATTTCCAGTAGAACTTCAGGTAAAAATGTATAAAGGTCAGAAAGAAAAAGATAGCAGTCTTCTGAGCATATTAGTTATCTCTACCTTCAAAAGAATTTCTAGATTTTTTTCTGCTTTCTAAATGCTAGTTCTTTCTCCTCAGCATCATCTCAGCTCACCTGAGCAAGAGATATTCCCTTGGATACTTTGTGGATCTACACTAGAATCAATTTACTAGTCATTTGTGACTCTGGATTACAAAAAAAGGGGCTCAACTTTAGGCTCTGGCATTACAAATATTACTAACGTGTTCACAGAGAAGTGGGCTGTAAATCAGAAGTACATGATTAAAAACAATTTCTGCTTTACCCTTGTTTTTGGTACAATGCCCAGATGAAGCTTTTCATCCACAAGGGAGGCACCAGCTTCGGAAAGGTATCCCTGATTAGGAAGCAGGCAGCCTCTGCCAAAGCAGCAAGGGCAGCAGACCTTATGAACATATTTGGTCCATTTTGGATTCAGGTGACCATAAGGCTCTTC